GAACATAAGTCCGCTAGAATTAATAACAGTCTTCATTTAAAACCCTGCGACGTTGTTACACCGAGGATGACGAATCGCCAGGAGCTGTAATAGCGTTCGCCAGTTTTCAGTTTAATCGCGGTAATCAGTGCGAGGGACGCGAATTAAGGAAAGCAACACCGCCTCAGGCGCCCACCGCGACGAATACTCGCGACGACTGCTTGTATGTACCTTTTTTTTCGCATGACGAAGGAGAAATCTTCAACAGATACCCGCCCTCCCGCGAGGGGGTCGAGTTAATGTCGTACTTTAACTCCTGTTCTTTTAATTATCGCCTAAGCTCCATAATTCTATCTTATTTAATTAAAACTAATTCGTTGATTCTTAAAAACTATGATCCTGTCAATAGTCATTCGCTTGTCTCAAAGATTAAGCCATGTCTCAATACAAACTGAGGTGAAACCGCGAATGGCTCCTTGAATCAGTTATGGTTTCTTAGATTGTATTCATTATTTTATAATTTTAGAGTAACTGTAGTGATTCTAGAGCTAATACATACAAACCAGAATTCCAGAGATGAGAGGAATTCCGAATCTTCCAAGAATACAACAAGAATATTATAAATAAATTACAGACCATAAACAAGACAGTCTAAAAAGATAAAGATCATAATTTCTGCTGAAATAATACTGACAAGCTCTGTGCAACGTCTCTGATCTTTGACGTCCAGTGAAATTGAACAATCTTTTATTTTTCCAATCTGAACCATAACTCACTCATCAGATCCGTTCGAAATGACAAATTGTTACTCATCCAGCGTCTCGTGTCGGATACAAAAAAAGTAAGTGAAATCAAAGTTCAAACGTTCACGGACTCGACTTTCCCCGGAGCCTTTTTAACAACTCAGACTGAACGTGGTTTGACACAAAACTCGAAAGCGAGTATTAATCTTTTTTAACTCTACTGCTTTTACTTCGACAATTAAAAACGTGTCTCATTTATAATATAAATTTCTTTAATAATCTCAAGTGCAACAGCGATCGTGAGATTTACACCGCGAATCCACTCAATCACCCCTACTGCATCTTCTTAAGCTCCTCTCAACAGAAATATATTAATTAATTCATTATAACTCGTCGGTTCATTTATAAATGAAATGTGATCGTTTGTTACCGGATGGAACATTTTACAATGTAGCTGGCTAACTCGTAAGATATTTCACGGTGCAACGTGATTTTTGAATGCGCAAAAGGTGCGTTTGAAACAGCGCATTCGAAATTCTCAGAAGTTCTCAACAAAATAATTAAAAACATCTTTTAAATGAATTAACTAATCGTCGACTACTTCATCAAAGAGACGACCTAAGGCAGAGGTCAGTTAGTTAACAATTTTTAACCAGATCCTCGCCTCTTTACACCGTGTGAGCGCAGCTTTAAAATTGCTCATCGGAAATAAGTAATTAGCGCTATTACACGCGGATGGTACAGCGTGCAATCGTAATTAGAAATAAACGACGCCGCGGCTCCGTGTGTCCGCGCCGGTTAATAAATTAATTAAGTGTTGGTTATCCCGTTGATAAAAATTCATTTGAGTTTATGAAAAGATGGGTGATTAGTATTGCGCCGAGTGTGTACACAGAGTTACCATCCGTTTCACGTTCAATTAAGCAGTTAACCGACTAGATTATTTATAAATTATATTTAACAGCAGAAACGATATCAGAGGATTAATTGATTTCTTTCCCATACGAATTCCTCTTGTCCCTCTCTTGGAATTTTCTCTTTAACGACGTTTCGTTAACGTCTCAGGATAAAAAACGCAACCAATTTCTGAAATGTTCAGATTTTATTGGTCGGTTAACAAGTTATTACCGTTGTTAATTACCACTGCAGCTATTTGGAACGGGTTAAAAGTAACTGTATGCACTCCACGCGGCGACGTTAACGAAACGGTACACAGCACGCTTCATTATGTCCAAACGTATTTCTCGCTGTAGTACATTGTGCGTTTATGTACTGCAGATTATCTGCGAGCCTAAACGACTCGGTGAGAACTTCAATCAGAAATTTAGAATTTAACAGAAACGTTTGCTAGATGATTAATAAATTTGGCAACGAAAAACCAATTATAAGACCTCCGATAGGAAAGTATTGTGTAATTATGGATTTTCGTTAAGATGAATCCCAACAATGATAAATTTTGTCGCAACGAGGTCAGCCAGGTTTTAATGCAGTGTCTCGCGAGGAGAGAAGACGTTCATTAATTTCCCCGGGTAACGGTTCGTATATCAGTGATTAGGTACAGTTCGAGAAAGCAAGAGAAAACGACACTACCGTTTTCACCATTATCCTGCTAGATCCGAGCTTACGACGTTCCACGAGATTCGAATCGACGAACTTCCAAACAATATGCCTTCTAATCTCAGTGAATCCTGGCGCAATCTGAAAAATGATTCATATAAAAATTGTCTGAAGCTTTACATAAAAACAATGACAAACTATTGAAATTTTAGCAGAGATCTAACAGCTCATACGACCTTAAGAAACATCAACAGCTGAATCTATGCACTGACGAACTTCTATTTGTTCCTCAAACCTGGAGGAGGAAACAAAGAAGGTTTGGTAGATAATCGGATGTAAAATTCAAAACTGGTGAACGCCCACGCTCATTTTTCCTACGATTAATGAGCGATAGTTGGAAAAGAAATTGGCAGGACTGGGATAGTTTCGCGCCGCACAGCCACTTGAAACCTATAATTAGGACACCTCGGTGTGATTCTAATTAGGGCTCTCCGTTTCCCATAAATCTCGTCCCCGTTAGAAGGATCATTTCAAGAGTGAACGCCAGGGTTTAAATCACCGAATTTCAAGAAAATCCACAAACGATTCTGAAAAAAAAAGAGACGTATGAAAGAGCATTGAATAAAAAAAAGGATTGACGTTGGATTGACTTGGCAAGGATTTGGTGGCGAGCGTAATCAGTTTCCAGGTAATTGGAAGATACATCAGGCGTCAAAGTTGAATCATTACGTTGTAAATCAAATCCGAACTGTAACTGTGCCGCGGTCAATAATCAATTTATGCCCGGCGCGCGATAAATTTCATGATCCATCGATCGTTCCCTCGATCATCCACCACAACGTCCATTACGGATCGACGCGCGTGCGTGACAAACAGCGAGGTCGGATAGGAACCCGTGTATGGGAAGTTGATTGCATTTGCATACATCTATTAGAAACTGAAAAGAATCCGTGCAACTCGGCTTCCTCCTGGCCGTCGTCCTTTCAAGGTTGCTTCCTTCCAATGCACAGTTATAATCAACCGCTACGGGGATTTATTCCCCGTCCTTTGTGCCCCGGACCCTCGACTCTGCTATCATAAATCACCGGATGATTTTCCAAGCCGATTGTTTAAAAATTATCCGCGAATAAGTCGACTGGCAATTTGTTCGAAAACGTATCGTCCGCTGCTCCTGGTGAGGAAGCGACATCAACCATTTCCAACATTATATCATTAAATCTGACAAAAATCCGATACGACGAATTCCGGTTTTTTCCTTGCATAAATAGTCGCGGACGTAATTAGCTAAATGACGGCCGTGTACGTTTATTATGCCAGCGTCATCGAGTCTCGCGTAGTCCCAAGCATAATGGTCCGTACGGAGGATCGATGGTCACGCTCGAAGACAGTTTCCCCGGGTTCATTTGACGCAAATTACTCGTATTCATTATGATTGACCAATTTCGTGTAACGTAATAGCGCCGAGTAATGTCCCAGTCATGAAACTGTTATCTCGGAGCCTTATCGGCCGACGTACGTAAAATGAAAAACTCCTGATCAATAATAATAATAATATGTACGTCCGAGGCTTCGCATTACACGTCATTCGTCACCTATCGTACCGATAACGAGGTAAACAAGCGTCGTAATTACTCGTCACGTTATCCAATCCTGACTCGCAGAAACAATAAAAAATTTCCTTTGCAGATGCCGGGGTTCGCGACCCTTTTTTCTCTGGTTTCAGGCCAGAATCGGCTCGTTTATAGCTTATTAGTGGACGTTAATGAGCTTCACTGCCGCCTTTTGGTGACTGTAGAGTTTCCCGAAAAGAGGAGGGAAACAAATGAGGTGACGCCTACGCGGCGTCTCAAAACCTTCTCCCTGGGACTCCAGGGCCTTCTAATCGACCTACAAATTACAAAAAGAAATTAAACTATATTCAAAAATTGCTATAACAATTCTGACTACGTTCGACCACTAACAGAGGTGTTTATGAACTCCCATCAGGATTCTAATTGGTCAATAAACGACGTTTTCTCGCGAATCTTACGCACCTAATCACGTGTCCACGACGAATCATCAAAAACAGTCTATTCTCACCTATTCCAAGAGGCATTATGCAATAACTATGTCTATGTTTGCATTACATTTCTAGAACCAGGATCTTCCTCAACGAGTATTCAAATTTTGTAGAAACACTCAAAGCCCAGTAAAAGTCTGTGTTGGAAAGTACATAGGGAAAGGTCGCCTCGTAAACCAGTCAAATTTGTCGACGCTTGCCAGCCCCTCGGTGTTTAAACTGCCATAAAGTACGAGGGGCGACAAACGAGAAAAAGGGACGTGAAAGAAGTTGGCAACAGTCACATAATTACTCTGGGCCCAGCTTGTAAAAAGATCATAGTTCGAGATTTCAATGGAACGTCTCCCACAATTAGCCTAATCATCGATTTTCATTAATCCTTTGCTTGCTGGACGTCGAGACGATTTCCTATTTTTAAGTAATCTTCTATTTTTTCTCGGGGGTAGGTGGGGTGTCTGGGGTGCGAGGAACGCGGCGCCTGAGCGGTGCGTGCCGGTTGATAGAGCGCCTTTCTTTGAGAGCCCCCAGCGAAGCAGAAGTATATAGAAGACGAGAGGCGTGCCCGGTCACGCGGCTTCTACAAAGAGATGCCCACTTGCCGGTGGACCCCTTCCACTCCTCTGGGACCCCTACCCCGGTGAGTCCCGGGGACCCGAGTCCCCACCATCGGTCCCTAAGAAAACTGAGCAGCATGGTCCAGACCACGAGATCCAGGTAAAGTCAGTTTACGCAACGCTTCCGTACGCGAACCACACACGTCCAACAATTCCTCTCAGTCCCAGTGATCGTTTCACTCATCAAACATGATACCCTGGATCTGAACTTTCGCCTGGAAATGAGATGACGACAAATCTCCGGTTCTAGTGCTATTTCAATCATCAACGAGGACATTTCTGAAACAGAAAAATGACTGCTTATACGAGTTTCCAATACGACCTGTTGGACTCCGAGGGTTACGGCTCGGCTAGCAGCCCTGAGTCGAATCCGCGGGGCTGGACTCTCCATCAGGAGGTCTACCCTCAGCCGCCGCGGTCCCGGGGCAGTAGCTGCGGCAGCGTCAGCTCTTTGGATTGTCAGAATCGCGAGTACCAAGAGATCGGAGCCAGCAACGGGAATTACCACGTGCCTGGTTTCAACTTCTGCGAGTTCTACGAGGGCTACTATCAAGAAAAGACGAAGGACCACCAGGGAAAAGCTGGGTTCAGGACGAACGATTGCCTGGAGAACGTCTACGATGTTAGGAACGATTACTCTAAGAACACAGAACCCAAAATGGACCAGAGTCTGTTCGGCAAGTACGAATTCCAGGGCCAGGAGTTCTACGGGAAGACTTACGGCATCCCTAAAGGTGACAGTTTTTTGGCTAGGAGCAACGGCGGTCCCTACGCTCAGCAGAGAAGCGAGCTTCTTTATTTGGGCGTGCAGGGAGTTCAGCCACAGGGCAAGTGCGACGCCGTGAGATATAAAAAAGACTCGGTCGAGTACGGGCAGAAGAAGGAATCGATGCAAAAGATGAAGAACGGCGCGCCGGGCGTTGAGGTCCTCAGGAAGAGAAGGTTGGCGGCGAACGCGCGCGAGAGACGAAGGATGAACAGTCTTAACGACGCGTTCGACAGGCTCAGGGACGTCGTGCCTAGTCTTGGCAACGACAGGAAGCTCAGCAAGTTCGAGACTTTGCAAATGGCACAGACTTACATCGCAGCGTTGTACGAATTGCTGCAAAGGGAGTGAATCTCTTCTCATCAAGAGGACGGATTTTCTCATGAACACCAAGGAATGTCGGTACGTAGGAAAAAATCCGTGTTTTCCTCAGCGCCCGCATTTCTCGAATCACACCGATAGATAGTTTAATTAGTAATAATTACGGCGTGCGTGGTGCTAATGCTTCTTCCTCGTCCGGCCTTGTTCCCGGATTCCGGCAGATTTTTCGCAAGATCGCGCCGCGATATCGAACCCTGATACGAACCCAGAGTGTGATGAACTCAGTTCAACGGAACGAGTGCTTGATTAACTGCGATTACGCTCAGAAAATCATCTGTCGAATAAAATCTCTGTTACGGTTGTAAATAGTAGAATCGTCGCACGGTTTCAAATGTGTACATACAAAGTTAGAAGCGCATAAATTATAACAATTCTGTACATAATCCATTGTAAATAGACAAACACACGACGCTCGACATTTAGCGTATATAGAATTGGATAATAAAAATAATTTCATCTCTGCGAATATTCGCCAAAGAACGTAGACGTTAAGAGGAGATTCGAAAACAATCTAACGCATTTATCGGCTTTCTCGTTTCAAAAGAATACGTGTCACTCTTGCTTGGCTCCAATTTCGTGTATCGCTGAATGTATATAAGTTTTATTTTTTTACTTTGAATAAAATCGACAGGAAGCTCGTGATAATAATAATAATAATCATGCCTATCATTGAACCGTCGGACTTCCTTTCGTCGTTACGAAATTTTGAGGAAAAGCAAGGACACGTTCGAGAGGAGCAATTAGAGATATGCAAAAATGAACGGACGGTCACCAGCGAGGGGGGGACCTTTGGGGGCCTCCACTTAGCAGTCAATCACAATTAAATACAATTTTGCGCGAGCTTCGGGCTCCGGTAATGGCGCAAAAAGAGAGCAAATTGAAATCTCCTAGCTGACAGAATGATAGATGGTGCCGGCCGGACGCGAAAACACCGGTAAAGAAAGAGAACGACCACGATGAGAGTCGCCAAGGAACTCTGAGAAAGCCGATTCGAATCGTGACGAAAACGCAAAAGTCAACCCGCTACCCCCGATTTCTCCCGCCGCCGTTCATCGAACGCACCTAATACCGTCTCGATGAAATCATTATCATCCAATCGATTTCCAATAAAATTACACCAGCTGAGTTCGCAATTTTTAAGAGAAACTTCTTAAATTCTTGAATAAAATCTAGCATGAATTCGCTCAATTAAGCCATGAATTAATATAGCAAATCTGTTTGCCCTTCCTTATATAACTTGATAGAAATTGATGCGATTCCAGAGAGAGAGAGAGATATCGATAATGTGTTTATGCACACGATTTGAATGTACGTTAAAGTCTAGTAGAAACCCGGACGGACTCGATTCCCGTAACGCCAGGCGAGTTTTGCTGTTGACCGTGGAAAAAGGAGGATTCGCCATGCTGGGTTTTGTCTGCGCTCGCAGTAAATGTAGTGGACACCATGGAAAAAGCGTGTCACCCAAAGAAACGGTGTGCCACTCGTAGCGACCCTTATCATAATTGATTCGTTCGCCAATTCCTCGGCCTCTTAATGCGTCTAACGTTTAATCCTGATAAGACCTAATAACAGACAAATTTTGTAAATAAAATGTCATACCTTTTAAGACTTTTCAATAATAAAAGTATTAATTTAAGACCGTCTCCTTCTGAATAATAATAATTATGTTCCTCTGTCGAGACCAAATGTATTTAAGAATGTGCAATGTTGAATAAAAACCTTTTGGAAACGAATTTTCTTAACCCATAGCTCCTCTTGGAATCTCAAATAAGCATCGTCTCCTATCCTCTCCTACAAAGAGAGAGAGAGAATTATGCAGATGTGCGTGCGTTTGAACTAGATCATCGAGAACACTCGTAAGTATACTATTGGAAGCCAGGAAGATTATCAAAATCGATCGGGTCTGGCGTCCATAATTTAGGGAGCGAGACGGGATCTCCGAGTGCATAAGGATGCACATTTCAAAAGGCAGAACCGCCTAAACTGTTCCTCGAGGCCATCGCTGTTTTCTAGGAACCTTCGTCGACAATTTCTGTGCCACCTGAGAAACTATACTCCACGTTTATTTAATTAAAACTATAGATAATAAATAATACTTGAAATCTGTAACGCTGAACGCACGTGCAGATGCCGAGTACAACGAATAAAAGTGAGTATTTGGTTAATACACGGTTGTAAGCGGTAGAAGCTCAGATGTTTCTTAGGAGTATCGAGGTATGCGCCCGTACTTACTACAGGCACGTAGGGTAGCCACGGTTGGTACCGGCGGAAAAGATACCGAGAGCGAGTGTGTTGGCTGGTATCAATTTGTCTGGCTGGTAGCAGGTTCACTCGACCAGACGAAGGTCGCTTTGTGCGAGCCGCTATCCGGCATTCTATCAAACCCAACAACGTTCGCCACGATCGATTTATTCTACCAACAAGTAAGATACCAATTACCCTCCCAAGGACGCGAACGTTATTACCTTAAATCCACAAATAAATTAACTCCCCCGCGTATTCAACAAAAAACCTGACCTAATCCAACTTTTTTAGAAATGCTTTCTCTCAGAAAAAGGAAGAAAACCAACGAAACTGGCACACTTGCACAAGTATTTAACGATAATAGTTTGTCCAAAAACGTTAATAAAACATGTCGATTAAATCATTTGCAAGCACAGACGGAATGGATTAAAACGAGCGATTTACTCATCCGTGTCGACGTGACAGGGCGCGAGCGGTTGATAATTTGTTGGCGAATTAGACGCGGAGAGTGTTTCAGGTGACGATTACAACCGGCGATAATAAAGTTAATGCGCGTGCACGCTGACAATAGCGTAAACCGGCATTATCGCAATTACTGTTATTATTGCAATTATGAGGATTGCTCGGGGTGAAGCTCGTTCAACGGGAATCAGCATGAATTACGCTTTCATATGTGAGAAACCCGTGGATGGTACATGCGTAGGAAAATTAATCGCGGTGTCCCGAGCGGATTTACTCTCTGCTCTAATGACGCTTAAATATTATTCAAATAATCACACGCTAAATTATTAAACGTCCCGAACGTTTCTACTAATTTTAATTAAAAATTAGAGCGATCGATGCTAGAAAATCAATTCTAATTTGTGGTGGACTGGCCTAGCGACGGGCCACATGACCCTTTTGGGAAATGTTCTTTAGAACAGCGATTCTTCTGAGAAGAGATAAGGGAGAGTCGTTGGACTCTGAATAAATCTTTTTGTGAAATCACCAGTGCTAATTATTCTGTCACCTATTCCCACAAATTCGATGAAAGATTCGATTAAACGAGCGATTCTAGCGACAGTAGGACAGGTCCGGGTTTCTTCGTGTCCATACATGACTTTGCTATTTCCTCGATCTCGTTTGGTACACGTCACCATCGGGTATTGTGTACTTGTGCCCATTGTCGAGATCCATCAATGTTGATCGTTAGAAAGCGATTCTAAATCTCGTATCTCCTGTCGACATCGATACACAAGCAATCGTCCAGTTAAATAAAACCCATCAGCTTTTCAATTAACCACGTTGTCCTCCTGCAATTAATATTTTACATCTTAGAAAATCGTCTTCACTATAAATAGAATTTTATATAAAAATAGAAAGCCAGTCGACTTATGGCGATTGTCCAGTTAAGCACGGACCATGTTCCTCGTAAGCATTGTGCATTGTCCAAGGTCAGTGGAGGATTTTGTTATTCAACGAAGGATTAAACTGGAAGAGAACATTTTCACCAACTCGTCGCTTCATCCAGCAATAATAATAATAATAATAATAATAATAATAATAATAATAAAATTAAGAGAACGTCACACCCTCATTATGAATCTGCCAATTAGAAAGGGAAGCCTAATTCTGGATAACTGAGAACGGAACCTTCTCTACGTGCAAGTGCAGCAACAAACAACGCCGGCCGTGGCGAACGGCGGCGCGGCATTCCTAGTGGGATTAATCGATTTAACGGTTCGACGGGGCCGAGGCAGTGTCCGCGGTGCTATAATTTGATGGAGTGGCGTTCAGCGCGCGTCATCCGCGTCCGATTCATTGACCGTGCGTTTTCGCACTGTCACCGCGTAACCGTTGGCCGCGGCTACTCGCGGTCGGGACAAAGCGCCGGCCGGAGAAAGAAAAACCAGACGGCCAAGAGGGACCATAACACGCGGACTGATCATTAATTCAAGTTTCGAAGCAGCTTCCAACACGGAAGCCAACGTCTCTCCTGTTCTAAGCTCGTTACCAGACTCCTTTCAGCCCTCCATTTTACTCCATCCACCGAATTATTCCAACCAGATTAACCGGCAAAAGATACAGCTTGGAATTCACGACGTCTCACATTCTTAGAACGGAATCTACAGATTTAATAGAAAACCTAACGCAGAGACTTAGAAACGCGACTCGTTTATACAACCGACGCTGAGAACGTTCGAAAAATCTCTGGTCTAATAACAGATCAGGGTCCTCGATGGGTATCGAGTATCCAGCGCGAATATATGGCCAGTCTCGATCGGGTCGATAATTAAATAGCGCGTCCACGCGCCTCGGTTTATCGCGCTGCTTGATCACAACCGCGGGTAGGTTCGCCAGAACAAATTCGCGCGACTTACAAATAACGATTGCAAAATCCTGCGCTAGTGTCCTTCACTTAACCGGAAGACTGACTGTAAATTAGACCGTTTTAAAAGAAACAGTTTCAGGATAGAAGAACCGCGAGACTGTAAGTTCGCCCTGAGGTCGATATCGCATCCACACCTGCCAGATCGACGATACTAAAAACAGTTCAGAGATAGCGACTCGCGGATCGGATCTGGACGCCGCCCGGAGGTCGGACACGCCTAGTTAAGCTCGTGATGAATGCGCGAAAAGCGAGATCGGTGGCAGATCCCGAAACGGATTTCACGCGCGTCTATGCCTCTGGGAATGCAAATTCCTCTAGGACCGCGGCCTAACCGTGACTTATCATGCTTAATTACAAGGTCTACCGTTGAGTTATTACTGTTTTACATTATTAAAGAGCCAGCAATTAACCCTGATCGCTCTCCATTCTCTTAGTATCAGAAGACACTGCATACATTTTGGAAATAACACGTTGCAGTCTATACTGAAATTGTCTATCATAGTAAATTGCTACGCTTCCACCTTCTCCAGGTTTTAAAAGATAAACCTAATTTACGAGATTTTCGTGTAACGCTGAATTATACAAGAAATAATTATCAATCGGTTATTCATAAGATCGCAAGGACCGACGCGCAATTTTTCTCATTACGTAGGCTCATTTTTTGTACAGCCAGGGGTCAAGACACCAGTCGGGACAGTCGAAATACATAGCGTACGACCCTAAACCATTTCTCTTTCGCCTCTCGTTAAAACTTGCGATATCCACCTAAGTATTGGTGAACGCGTTTAAACGCCGCCGGTACCGTCGCGCTGATTTCACTAACGAACCCGGCGATTTATATGATCGAACGCGGTAGTTTCATTGTTAACACCCGGCAGCCACGATCGACCCTTATCGCTTGCCTCCTCGCAACCATCTTTAACAGATTTGTTCTCCCGCACCCAATCATTTATTCATCTCATGCAAAACGCAATTCTTTCATCGACAAACAGCAGTACAGAATTTAACGCGATTTTTAATTTAATAATAATAATAATAATAACAATAATAATGTAGATATAAAGATTTCTAAGGAATTGCGTTTAGAGAGACAATAGGCGCGAGTTATGCGTGGAACACGTTTTCAGTCGGTTCGATCGGATCTAGATTTTTGCTACACGCTGCGAGTGTTTTACACCGGGAGGAATGTCGCTCGGGGTTCTGATTCCATGAAGACATATCCGGGCGGCGCGCACACGTGGCGCGGCAGACTCGCGTCAAGATTTCTCATTGTAGGTGGAGGAGGCCAGTCGCAGAGTTATTGACTCGTTTGATCCTGGGTTACGCCCCGACCTACCTTAACTCTGACTTACTATCCTGCCCACGAGCCTCGTTTCCCGTCTCCCACATTTCACCGCGTTTTGCGTTCGAGTGAAACAATCAATTATTATAATAAACGAAATTCTAAACGAATATTTTTCTACTCCCGTTTGGAAGATCGATTGGAGGAGGAGGATCCAGCTATTTGGCCAGCGATATTATTTTTCGGCTGCATAGAAGGTGAAGCGTGGCTGCGTGAGGCACGAGACAATAATTCATCGCCCCGGGGCGTGCAGTCTATACTCGCGATTCTAATCCTTGGCCAATTTGCACAGAGCGCCGTAAAATAAGAGGAACCCAGCCGACAACACTTCGCAGAAGAGGATTCACCAGTGTCGACCCTGTCCGAAAATTCTCAACTAAAACATGGAATATAAAAATTTATTATTAAAATTCTTCTTCTTTGCATGAAAACAAATTAAGAATACTCACACGAGCTTCTTAAAAAACAATTTTGATGCAAATTAAATGAAAATCGACAGAATTTCTTCATGGAATTCAACGCAAAAATTCTTGAACCCTTTTAACCCAAGGGGAGAATTCTCGAGACGAATTGGGACGATGGTTCATCCGACGGATTCCTAGAGCGGTCAA